TTCAGCGAAATACACTCTTTTGCAAACACATTTGGTCTTGCGAGAGACCCACCTGGAACTCAGCCGAATCTCTGGCTTGTGATGATGAATATCGTAGTGACTGAAACATGAGGCGGCTTGTTGCAGCACATTCAGTCGCCTGGAAACATCACAAACGAGAGATTCAGCTGGGTTCCAGATGAGTCTCTCGCAAAACTAAATTTGTTTACCAATGAGTGTATTGCTCTAATTCCGTGCAATTTGGTTTCATTTAGAACATAAAGTTGACGAAAACTCGGGGACTGGGCCTACCTGATGGACCCCAATAAGGGTGAAACCGGTCGTGGGCCGTCAGAGGAGTTTCCACCAACCTTATGAGTAGTGCATTACGAATACTCGTCTATTCATTTAAGTATTTGTCAAGCTCCTTTCTGCTTTCTGACGGCTCAAAGTGTGGTTGCATCCCAGAGTAAACGCACATGTTACTGGGTAAGTTGAGACATTTTTGGTGATTCCTCCTTTAAGAAACGTTTTCCACTTTTACTGGCATCGATTGTCCCACCGTTGACCCCAAAGTAGATTCTGTTGGCAGATGTGTCCTTTCATACGTCCGTTTCAGTTGTTGTAGACTCTTCCAGTTCAGATTTGCAAATTGTTTCAACCACCTTTCCGAGCAAACGATTATTAGTATGCCTTCTTAATTGTTTTTGTCATTATCTCATTTTCTATCTACTCCTTTCAAGCATTTGACCAAAGAAACAAGGCGGAACTTAACGAGGCTTTCATCCTAATTCCAAACAGAATGTCCCATCGATCGAGTATCGATCCGGAACAAGGCAGTATTTCGTCCAATCCAGAGTTGTGTCTTTAACAAATATTGCAGTATACTTTTGTTAATACAATTTTCTCTCGAAACTCCGCACGTTTTTGGCATCATTTTGGAGCGTATACCAACCAAAACTTGACAGATAGGCTTAAATTCAACACGGACTATTCTCCTTTTTTCGGATGTTGAAATAAGCAGACCGTCAGTCGAAATTTTGCAGTCAACTGAAGGTAAACGCTTCTTATCAGGTTTTTTATCGGTTATTTTCAGAGACACGCGTCCACCGACCAGACTTTAGAGACGGGTAGTTTGATTTCGTAACGAACCGAACGTTGTAATGCTAAAAATCCAACATACATGGTGGACGGATGTGTTAAACCCTGCTCACTGTCTAACTTTATTGACCCAAGTAGAGGAAGACTGGAGTGCGATTTCTTCTACAGTTTACCGGATATACTCTGTTCTGAACAACTGAACTGGCGTCTACTTTAAGATATCCGAACGGCTTTCAGTGTGACTCCATTTGAACAGATTAAGCGTCGTATGGATTATTGAATCTAGTCGAAGTAAGGTAGAACAAACACGCTGACATGTTGAAAAATACAGCTCAGAATTTTTCGGCTACCAGGGATCAACCTGTTCAGGAGTGAACTAACCAGGATTGCAAAAATAGTAAAAGTAAACCAATCTGACACCCGAATTTCATTTGATTGGTCAAGGGTCATACGCCCACGCATCTGGCTTGAGGTGGAATTTTGATTGGATGGTTTATTGTGTTATCTGTAGTTAGACAGACGTGGAAATTCAGTTGTGTCCAGCGTTCACTGGTGAGGTAGTGTTAACACGTTCACTTCGCCAGGACAGTGTGAACGCGACTTCAGCAAATCTCACAGCCATCCATAGTTAATAGACAAGAATCGAGAACAGATGCGTCGAGGAACATTCGTCAAAGGAACTTTCACGGTCGCACTCTACGTAGGTTTCTTTTGGACAGTGGATGCCATTCGTCAATTAAGATGAAACGGTAGACAGATTTACATATCTTGGATGCGGTAACCCAAATACTTTTGGAGACACCAGATGAAGAATAAGACATGACCTTGAAGTTTGGCAGTGCTTACACCCGGGGTGAATTGATTTCTCAATTCAGTGTACTTTGGGAGCAGAGATCCAACACGTTCTATCTGTGAAAACCAAAAACTGACCTTCTGTTTATCCTGGTTCCAACTTTATCTCGGTACCTGAATTATTTAAGAGTAAAACAGAGGTCCAGTTGTCTACCTCCAAGGGAGGCCCCGACGAAGAATATCGGCTCCGTGTGGGAGTTCGCGATGCCACTTCTAATCTCGCACGATATGGTAACAGTTTCTGTCAGGAAGCAGGTCGCTTTCTAGAAACAATCAGTGTCGTTTCTCTGACTGTAAGTGAGCTTGAAAGCAAAATGCATTCAATGGAAAATCAGCGCTGCAATTCGGTGCAGTTTTTTTTTACCAAAAACACAGTAATCTCCTACGACAAACACCAGACAGTTCATCCATCCTTGTTGGACCCAGCACCAGCATGCAACCACGAGATGTCCTCCAATAAGTGGGCAAACGAAAGTAAATATCTCATCTGCAAATGAGTATTCTCAAGCGTCCTATTTAACTTTCCTGGACGTTCTTTGAATATTAATCAATAACGAACCAACAATGCAAATTGATCGCATAATTTCTGTGGTAACCTTCACCAGATGCGGGGGTGGAGCTTCATACCAGACGCTACTCACATGCTCATCAGTAGTATATATCGTCACACTGTTGGTTTGGGTGAATTCAATGGAATCTGATCAGGTGGATAATATCCACCGAATATGACAACTGACTTACAGACGTTTGATCACGTCTGAACTGAAATCATTCTTGCAGAACAGTATTCACAAGGTTACTGTAAACTGTTCGACAGCGTACGAACTGTTTCATCTTTACTAAGACTCATCCGGTAGGTGAGGTCTCCAATTTCCCGTCAACTTGATGTTCCGCTCGAACCCAGGTTGTAGGCAATTTGTGAACTACATTCATTTGCACACTAATCAAATTTTACGTGGGGACACGACTGAAATGAGTGTGGTATCTTCCAGCTGAATCTAAGTGAAAGTGAGCGTGCGAGCCAACCGTGAAGTGTGGTGGACACAGAAGACCAAGGAAATGGAAGGGGTCCATAAGGCCGGGAATTCCTGGAGATCCCTGCGACCGGTCTCCGGAAACCAACACAAGAATCGGAATGGAGTGGCCCTGTCGTGGTCACCAGCTGGCAGTGATCTAGAGCCCACAGTTAGAACTCTGGACGATGAACGTGGAACTACCTACTTCCTCGGAGGTTTACGAATGCATATGTTCTCTCAGCCGCCACTGAGCTTCTGTTCCAAATAACCTCGCACAAACATGGGGCTGAATTCATCGCTTGTCTCATTTGTCTGCCTGCATTTGAGAAAAGCAGTTTGTCTCAGACAACTGGGAAGAGTCGGTGATAGTACCCATTTTTTTCGAAAAAAGGGATTTGTAGTGAGTGTAACCACAAGAGGGTGAAATTACCTCCAGTTGTAACGAAACCGCTGGCATTACCGATGCTTCGTCACTTTATGGTGGCTCATGAAACACTGACTCGAGAGCAGCAAGCGGGATTCCGGCCCCGTAGGGTTTGTGTTGACCAAATCTTCACATCCCGTCAGGTGCTAGAACAGCGCCATACGTATAAGCGACTCACAATTTTGGCATCCCGAGACTCTCACGGCGTATTCGACTCGGTCGATCGGTCTGTTCTTCTTGAGACGCTTACCCACCAAGGAATTCCCCAGAATTTTGTAAACATATTACGTTTTCTGTATTTTCAGACTTCCGGACGTGTGATAGTGTACGGAGAGCCCTCCAAAAGTTTCCGTAAACAAGGCGGTGTCCGTCAGGGATACCCACTCTCTCCATTTCTTTTTAACTTTGTGATCGATGAAATAATGAGACGAACGCTGGAGGGTCTCCAAGACCCTGGTGTTCAACTAGCCTGTGAAGAAAACCTTGTCGATCTGGAATATGCAGACGATATCGTTCTCATGTTCAAAGAGAAGGAAAAGNGCTGAATGGGAGTCTGATGGAATTTCGGGAAAATATTGGGCTTTCAGACGAAAATTTCAACATTATTTGTTTCGCAATTAAACCCGGTGTTTACAGAATGTTGGTGTCTGCTAGCTTGGTCTGCTCTGCGCGATCAAATATTTGTCGCGGGTATCTGTTTCACCTTTCTCTTGCCACCTAATGGTGAGTCCAAACGAAACGAGTGATGATTTACGGAACGAGTGATGCCAGACTCTTGAGCTTTTCGGGACCTTACGCCTCAGTGTTGTAACCGAAAATTCACACAGAAATAAAAAATTCGTTGTATTTTTTAACATGTGGCGCGTGACCTATAAATAAAAGTCTAAAAGGGAATTTTTACTCTATCGGGTGGCCATTCTCGCCATTCCATTCCCAAACCGGATACGAATCGATCTCAGCATTACCCACCTCAGCCCCATTACATGATAAATCAGTTTTCATGTGACAGACTACTGCTGACACGCTGATAGGTTAAAAAGTCGAGCAGGAAAAAACAAAATAACTAAGGTATTCAGTGGCTTGTGACCACTGGCCGGAAACATTTCTCTATTCGCCTACTATTGGTTACTCAAAAGAAACTCAGTAGTATGAAAAATCATGAAAAAGACCGCATTACTTAGAATGAAAGTCAGCCCCTCAGTTACTGAAGCATACGATTCAAATTTCTATGTAATCCCTCAGTGTAATAAACCCAACTATCGAAATGTAACCATACGCCTGCGTGGACCAATAGGAGTGTACTCCCTTCACAGCCGGCATGATCATGTTGCAATCGAAAGAACTAGAATCCCAATGTCTTCCTAGTGTGTTCTGGTTGTCCTATGAGAATAGACCCTTTAAACAGTTACCCACTCAGAACCTCCTTACACTACCAACAATCAAGGTCTCGGAGTGGCTCAGTGATTGAGATGGGAACTTACTGATCGGATGATCCATGGTTCGAACCCCCCTCAGACATTTCAATTGCTCATGTCTAGGCTTGGGAAACCTGTCAGTAGCTTAGTCATTTCGGGCAGCGTGGCTACCATGGGGACAAAGCTCGTTGCGGCTTCTGATCCCTAATAAGCATGGAAGAACCGTACAGTGCTTCCTGGCTTCTCAGCTTGGATAGGCTTCACCCACAAGATGAAATCCCGTTGAAAATCAAAGGAGGCAGTGGGCGAGATGGCCCAAGTGATTAGAGCGCGAATTTACTGACCGGAAGGTCCATGGTTCGAACCCGACTTCTGCCTCTCAACTTGCCCTGTCTAAGCTTGGGAAACAATACCAACAAAAGTGAATACCACTAGGTTGAGTATGTGAAAAATCTCCCAAAATGTCTTTTTGGAGTTGCTTTTGTTATCCCGTTTCTCGGGATAATTCACGCTGTTCTATTCTAGACTTGCTGGATCAATTGAAACGTACTGTTTGGGAAGTGGGTTAATCCCAGTTACAAGGCAGAACGAAGCTGAAAAGTAGATTAAACATGATGTCATTCTGTTGTGAGAATCTCTGATTGATCAACGCAGGTCGGATCTGTATGGTTGCGCGGGATTGGACCAGACTGACGGTAGTTCAAGCCTGGCATTCCGTGAAATCGAGGCTGAAGTTGTTGAAGCTTGGGTGAGGCCTGGGACGACGCTTGAGTTCTGCTCACTTCCGCTTTTTGCACACGGGCCGTTCACAGGTGGTTTTGTTTGCCAAGGATTCAGAAACCAGAGTCCTTTCCTCTATTCTACAGATCTATTTGATATGATTGATCTTGTCACAAAGGACGGATGTCATCTCAGTAGTTTTTTAAGCTTGGATTTCTCTTCAAAGCCCCAATGCAACGGTTAACTCATCCAGCGAGTACTCTAGCGTTGTGTATGACAATTTCTCACCTCGCCTCGTTCTGACCACAAGTTTGTTCAGCCCTAACATTCTTTTGGTGCACATCTGCACCCGAAGGAGGCATCATAGCCAAGATACTGTCAGGTTGCCCAAGCCTTGACAGAAGCAGTCAAGATGCCGAGGTTGAGTTCGAACCACGAACCTTCCGGTCGTTAAGTTCGCGCCTTGATCACTGAGCTATCTTGAGTTCTAATTAGGAGAATCAACACACAATGTGACCTAAAGTACAAACTTGCTTACACATAAGATTTAGCTTGGAATACAATACTCCTTTCATAAACGGGATTTACGAATACGATAAACTTTTCCGTGATCAGCGCTCGTTTATACTGCAGCGTAGCTTATTATTTTATAGTGCTTTATGTATTGTATATTGTCACATCATGTAATACATATGGCATTATAAATTTATTATTTAATTTATTATTTATTCAATTTGTCACTTATTATTACTCATATTACCTATTATTTATTATTTTATTTATTATTCATGCATTATGTACATATCATGTGTAATATTATTTGTTATACATTGTAAAAATGCAACACAGAGTTTTATATAAATACACGTTTTTATATTTTTATATATTTGCTTTTGTTGGGTTGTTCTGCACTACCACGTTATGCGCCTTCCATTTTTGGTGTCAGTGCGATACTCCGATCGGCTTCAAGGGTGAGGATACCGCTTTGTCCACTGCTGGAATCGAGCCACCGAGTGCATCTTCAAACGCTTGTCAGATAAAGAGTTGGTCGGAAAATTTCAAGGTTTGGCGATAGAGCAAACTCGGACTGAAGATGCAGAGGAAACAGCACTTTTTGTAATGCACTACTCATAAGGTTGCTGAATAATTCTCGACAGGCCACGAACGGTTTCGCCCTTTTTGGGGCTCATCAGGCAGGCGCGGTTCCAGAGTTTCCGTCAACCTTATGTTCTACTTGAAACCAAATTGCACGAAATTAGCGAATGTACACTCATTCGCAAACTAATTTGGTTCTTCGAAGGACTTGCCTGGAACCCAGCTGAATCTCTCGGTTTTGATGTTTCCGGGCAGCACTTTCTTCCTTCTTTATAAAAAAAGAAGCTTGTGGAAAATCTTGTCTTTCTTGACAAACATACCGTTGTGTCAAACGTGAACTTGAAAACTGGTCGATACCATTCACCTTTGTTGCTAATGAAGAGGCTAGATTCAGTTTACTAATTCGTCCGTTCGTTACTTGGCATGGATGCCTTGCATTCGAAACTTAAATCGCGAATATACTACTAGAATTAAAGACTACTTGGCCAATCGCTTGGTTCCTGTGAACGAACTTGACTGATCTGCGACAGTAGTTGCCGAATTTAGTAACATCGAGATATGGAGGTTAGAACTACCACAGTTGAACGGGGTCCTGCTTGGACGTACCATACTACTCATAAAGTTCCTGAAAGCCCTCCGACAGCCCATGACTGGTTTGACCCTTCTTGGGATGCATCAGGTAAGCGCAGTCCCCGAGTTCCTGCTTATGTTCTGCTTTTTGCTTCTCACAGGCGTTTCAAGCGAGTCAATTTCGAAACCCGTGTGATCTGCCATATTTTCCGTATTCAGCGATGCAGTCCACGTGATTCCACTTCCAGGACAATTACTCCTCAAATACCTGTCTGTTGTGGGTACTCATGTCTTCATAAACTGGCAAAACGTTTGAATTCTGCTGAAATGGTAATTTCTACGTTTTTTGGGAACCTGTTTTACTCGAATACATTTCGCACCTCTCTTAGACTCCTCAAGACACCCTACGGAAAACAGCACAGTTTCGCTGGTGATATTCGATATGCTTAACTGATCAAACCGGAACTCAGTATGCTATAGGTCATTCTACTATCGTTGCTAGTGACGGCGTTGCAAACTGTTCGTTGCTCACTGTATTGTTGCTCATGTGTGATTCGTATTCTATTGTGCAAGTGATTTTTTTTGTCAAATTTTGACACCTAGATCATCCATTTCAGATCTCACAATGCTTTATGTGTGACAATACAAAATAGTACTTCTTTTTTCGAATTCAAAATTTTGATTTTCAAATTTGCCAAGCGGATGGTGGTAGCTGCCGATAATCGAAGTGAAACTAGAGAGTTCAGACGACCCTTAGTTTCTTAAAAGACGACTCAGTGTTGGTTTCTGTTATATCTGCTGATTCGCCGACCTGTGGTATCTGCTGCTAACCCGCTCCAGTGCCTTGTGCCAGGGAAAAAAAGACTCACAGAAGGGAACACAACAGCTATATTCCGAGCAAGC